CAAACGCAGCCACGCATTCTCTTTCTCGCGTGGAAGTTTAGCAATCCATTTTCCTCCTTTTAGCATATCGGCGCTAAATTTCTGTTGCACAGCGCTAGACGTCCGATGCAATAAGACGTGAGTTTTCAAATGCATTGCGAAGCGAGTAGATTTATGGGCTGATCACGCGCAATAACAAAGGAACGCGGTGATTCGCAATGAAGAAGGCTGCCGCGGACTTTTGTGCACGGCGACACAAGTCATTAGATCATTGTTACGCGGGCACGTCCAAGCGATTATCGCGGTGAATGCGGTAGATGTAATCACGAGTGTCACGATGAGATGACGATGAAATCAAGGAGAGCGGCTTTCCGTTACGAAGTCATCTGCATCTCTTGTCGCATTGTACTCGGTTGCAATATTTTTCCCTCCCTTCTGCGCACAGTTCGTTACTGATAGAACGACGCGGCTTTAACAAATATTAATCCCGTACTACACTCGCACGATTCTTAATGAGCTATCAAATTCCTCCTCAAAAATTTTCAAGTAATTCTATCATACGACGAGTTGAGCCTCTCTTTGAATGTGATTTCGTAATCGAAAATTTTTCATATCTTGAAACATATATGGGCAATTTAGAATAGCTTTTATATTTTTTTAAAAATTTTCTCCTTTAAATATCTGACTACGCGTTTGAAAGATTTCTAAAATAATGTCATTAACTATATTTGTATATAACGTAGAGAGGAAATTGGAATGATAACAAAATTTTATTTAAGCGTGTAGTGATTTATTTATAAAAGAATTACACACTGAGAAAAATGTCTGGTTGAAAATGGACAAATCAAAATTCCGGTTATCTCAACTTTTGACGGATTTAAAATTTTGACAGATTTAAGCAGATTCTGATTTATTCATTTTTAACCAGAATTTCAATTAATCCAACCAAACATTTTTCTCAGTGTAAAACTAATATCGAAGAATAATGTAAAATACTGATTGTTAATTTTCATGTAGATTGAGATTTTCATAACATTCAAGATTTTTAAAACTTAAAATCTTAAAGAATTTCTCGGTTTTAATATTTGGCACAATTTGAGATTTTTGTAACAAAATAATATTCATGAGAAGATATGTTTTAAGATTAGATTTATTTTCATTATTTTTTAATAACGTACAATTATTGTATTTCGGCAATAGAATTATTATTCTATTTCATCAAAGGATTCCTTAATGTTTTACATTATTTTAATAGATGTATTGTATTAATATATAACATTGCAACTGTATCTACGCAATTACTATGAAAGCAATAAATGAAAATTCGTTTTATATACTCTCCTTTTATTATGCTCTACCTGTATTGCGACAATGTTCATTATCGCCCATTGATTAACAAAATGCCCATTTACCACTATTGATTCGCATAATTTGTCTTTCGTAAATGTTTATTACGATGACTAAATTGAACGTAATAAAATGGAGAAACCCGGAGACGGAGGCAGGATGATGATGTTATTCGTGTCGGTTACGGCAGTCTACGATGTTGTAACACGAAAGAATTCGTTTAGAAATGTTCCTCGCTGGGGCAGTCTCGATTCGTAAAACGATCACGTATTCAAATTAAAGTTCTCAATGTCAGCGCAATGAAATTTCTATCGAAGTGTCGAAACGCGTTGACCTTTACCATTGTTTTCTCGTCTGATGAAATCTGCCAAAGTGAATTCCTTTCTGTATTAATCTTCATTTCTTTTTTTCAATCTAGACATGTAAAAATTTAGATTCTGCGAAATATATATATATATATATATATATATATATATATATATATATATATACAATGTAAAAAAATTGAGTTACCAATGTCTTCAACTCAGTCTTGACATCCGGGATGGTACTGGATGATCCAGTACCTTAGACCTTTTAAATCTTAATTCCAGCTCGAAAGAGCTATTGATTCTACGATCGTCCGATGGAATTTCGTGAATTTGTGAGCAGAGTGTCGTAGTAGTGACATTATTACGATCTTATGAGAGATGACCTTCAGATATCACAAGACAGTCGTACCTTGTATCACGGGCAGGCTGCTTTCCTCATGGGGCGAATGTGCTGTCGAGATGGTCTCTAGGCGAATGTCCTATTAGCACTTTCACTCGTGCGTATTTCCTCGAGAGCATCGCCGTTATTCGCTATACTTATCGTCTCGAAGAATTTACCACTGTTATATTCATTCATAGCGATCCATTTCATTATTTGATTACACCCTTAAAGAAGCGTCTTTAAACTTCATGTCTTTTATTGTTTCAATAATATCTTGTGAATAAAAAAATAAAAGATCTGTCTAATGAAATTTTAATTTTTATGAGTAATATGATTGTTATTATAATACGCA